GAAAGCTAACAGCTTGAAACTTAAATGATATATGTAAAATTGTATGAGCGACAATTTTATTTAGAGCTAAATAGTATAGTTACTTAATAAAATTAAATGTAAATTGCATTTTTGTATTTTAGAAATTTTAAGAATTTTTGTACTAGGTATTTACCATTGGTGTAAAAAGTTAGCACATATAAATTTTTATTTTAATTATCATTTTTATTAGTTATTCTATTTTTTAGATATTAAGTTCAAATTTAGATGACATATTTAAATTGTAAAAATTGGCCCATATAGGTTTAATATATATACTATTAAATTTAGATAATACACAAAAAATGTGTAAATAATTCTTGATTCTAATTGGCTAAGAGCAATGATCAAAAAATTATGCCAGAATTACTCATAATTTTACTAATGAAATCATAGCTATCTATTAAATGAAAATTTTTTCTAGGCCAATTTTACTATAATGCATACTTATTTTTTAAAAACTTCTATTTTTATAATAAAAAGATTAAAAGTTATATCTGGCTAAAATTTAGTAACCAATTTTGTAATGTGGGCCAAAATTACAAAAATCACTAGCCATTAGCCAATTAAAATTGAAGATTATCTATGCATTTTTTGTATAGCACCTAGGTTTAATTATACATACTCATATTGATCATATTGATTATTGCTGTGCTAATAACAAAAATAAGTTATAAGCATGCTGAATTGTTATTAGAGATCTGTAAAATTTTTTGTATTATATGAAATCTTTATTTAAATTATTGCAAAAATTTGTATTAATTTGTAATAAGATATTAGCTTTATATTAATTTGCAATCTTTTTCTAAAAACAACAGAAATTTATTCAAAATTTTGTTCTAACCTTGCTCATTTTTTATATTTATTTATTTTCTCTTTTAGAAATTTTTGAAATCTTAATTTAGCACATTATTTGACATTATTAGCCAATCAAATTTATAAAAATCACATGAATTTTACCCTTAGAAATTTGGTTTAATTTATATAATTAATCTAAATTTGTATTAATTTGTATTAATTTATATACAAATTTTTATAAATCTTTGATTATTATAAAGTACCCCAGAAGGGATCCTCATTTTCTGCTGCAATAAACCCCAAATTCTGCCTGCTTTACAAATCAGTTTATGCGAATTCAATAATTTTTTTGAATTATGCTACAAGTTATATGAATCATATAAAATTATGCAAAAAGTTATAACCAAAGTTTTATTTTTATATCTTAAAACTGATTAAATAATTAGTTTCAAATTATAGTTGTGGTTAGAGGTGTGACTGCTTGCTGTATTATAATGTGTTATAGTTAGTGATGTGCCATGTACTATACTATATATACTGTACTGTACGTATTGTATATACTGTATACTAAAATTTTAATAGTCATTTTATAAGCTCTGAAGTTTAAGCTATAAAACTTATAAATTTCTAAATATTCTAAAACAATTATATAATATTTTTTTTTTTTTTTTTTTTTTAACACGAAATGGCGTGCTTTTATTAAAATTACATAATATTTCAAAATTATAGTATAAAAAAAAATTTACTATACAAACTGTACATATTGTATGCTAAAAAAATCCAAGTATCATATAAATAGCACATCACTAGTTATAGTAAAAATGCCTGTAACTTATTATAGTTACAACAAATTATGTTATTATATTCACACCTCTAGTTATTCTAATTTTTCATGTACTTGTATTAATTTATTGTCAAATTCTCTGATCCAATAAAAATTTATTCTGCTTTAATTTTACTACATTATGTGCAGATTATGCTCTATTATTTATGCGAAATTAGCTCTGATATGCTAATATGCTATTATATATACTTTTGCGATATAATCTGATTTATACACAAATTATGCTATTGCAAATTGGCAGTATTGTTACTATTTTCTTGAAGAGCAGTTAATATAGGGTGTTTGATTTATCTTCAATAGTAAACATGAAGGGTTATAAATATCTTTCATTCTAATATAAGCACGTGGAGTAGAATTATGAACTAGGTAAATCAGAATTAGGTAATTAACTTATTAGACTGAATCAGGGTTTATATGATTGATTTTAAGAGTTAATCTAAGGAATACAAGATGCAATATAAACATTTTAAGAGTATGTGAGATGGATAATAACTCTGTAAGGCGATTTGATATTTTGGAATAACAATTATAGTAATAGGATAGTTTATAGTTAACAGATAGAATCATTGAACTACAATTATAATAATATAGTCAGACCCCCTAAATGCACCCTCCCTAAATGCAGCACCTCTCTAAATGCATGTCTTCTTTTGGGCCCAACTAATATTATATCTATAGATTTTTACCTCCCTAAATACAATACTCCTCTAAATGCATGTGCTAGAGCTGGTTCCGATGATGTGCATTTAGAGAGGTCTGACTGTAATACTCCAAATGAGAATTATGTATTAAAACAAGATAATTCTTCGGATATAGAAAATATTGATTCAAATTCAATTTATGAATTTCAATACTTAAAAACTACAAAAATGAATGATAGTATGAATAAAATAAGTATGTTGAATGATACGATTACAGTACAATTATCAAAGAGCAACTTAAAAATATTTGTGATTTAGTCGAAGAAGGTATTAGTCTTTCAGAAGAAAATATAGATATTGATGAAAATATTCAGCAAAAAATAAATGATGACATAAATGGAGATTGTAATGAGTTTGAAATTCTTTATTTAAATCCTATCCGTAACAAAGAAAAAATCTTGTTGGAAGAAATTGAGAAATTTAGTATTCAATTATATGGTACCTATGAAATCAGAGTAAAAGGAATTCCTTATTTACTAAAAAATAAACCAAAATTTCCAGGTCGACTTGGTCGACTTCCAAATTTAATTCCAGGCAAAATTGGGTACAATTAAATATCAATTCCAATAAAAATTAAAAATTAATTATTTATATAATTCCAATCACGGAATTACAAATTTTAAATATAAATTTGGCAGAATTAAATTACGAGAATTATACAAGTTACCCCAGCAAAGGATACTGTATATTCAATTCTAAGAATGAAAGAATCAAGAAATAGACTCCCAATATTACACATTCAAAATATCTTAATCCGGTGTGTTCATGTGACCAACAGCCAATGATAAAAAATGCAAGAATAAAAAAATGAGTGTTTTAAATCTTGAGGGACTAATAAAAAATGTCGGGATTATCCACAAAATCAAAATTCAGACAGTTGATTAACAAATCAAAACTAGTTTTCAAATCTGCCTTCACAAATCTTTCGGAATCTTCTTCTTGGGTATTAACTTTGACCTAATATTGCACCCTGAATATTTTTGTTTAAGCAACTACGAAATTATTTTTATCATATTTGTATAATTATGAGTAAAATTTCCATGATACAAATGATAAACTACATATTCATTATTATTCTATTGTTATTATTTTTATTATTTTTGAATAAAAAGTAATTTTCAAAAGTGAGTTGGTTTTTAATTCACATCATTCTTGACAAGAATTGGATATATACCTATTAAAACCATTCAATGTAGTTCAATTCTGAAAACTGAACAAGGGTAGTGAAGCCAATGAAATTCAAAAATGTCAACTAAATGAAAAAAATGCAGATAAACCAAAAAAGGGTATGTTCCAAAATTTTATGAAAAGATCTGGTTATTTAAAAAATCTATAATAATTAATTCGAAAATTGTTTATTTCGTAAATTGAAATAAATTATAATCAGGGTACATTTTACATCTCAAATGCTAATATTTTTTTCAATCAACACATCTTTGTACAATAAATTCTACAGAGTGCATTAATTTTTAAAAACAATTGAATATAAATTTCTGAAATTCAATTGATCTAAATAATAGATCAACAAGTTAATTTTTAGGAACAGACTACTACAATAAGAAATTTATCAATTGCTAGATTGAAGTACGCAATAATACAAAAAAAAATTGCAATTGTATATAAAAGTACGATCAAATTTTACCAGTGCGCGAAATTATAATTAAATAGTCTTTTATTACATTTTAAATTATTTTTAAATAGCTTTTTTATATAATATTGAAGTATTTAAAGATTTTTTTTCATTTTTAAAGCTTCAAATTCTAGCTTGAATACTCTTAAAATATCATTATTTATTCAAAAATGCTCAAGCAAAATGTAATTGATTTATTAAATGGAAATAATTTTAGTGTAAAATACAAAAAATATAAATTCCTGAAAGTCTCTTTCGGGAAATATTGTTGTTATCTCATCATCTGGGATAAAAAAGCTATTAATGAAAAAAATTTAATAAACATAGAAAAGGCAAGGTCAACTATTTATCAAAACGAAAACAAAGATGAAGAGTTTTTGACAATACTTGTCTATAATTCTAAATTTGAAAACAATTTTGATAAAGCACTAGAGGATATTTATGGAAAAGGGTGCATTAACCCAAAAATTCCTAGAACTGATTTTGTTGCCGTAAATGAAAAGAAAATCATTAATTTACTAAAGGATAGCATTTACGATAACTATGCAATTTCAAAAAATATACATGATAAAAGAGATAAATTTTTATGGTTCATGAAAACTAAAAAGGTGAAAAATGCTGAGGATATTGAAATCTATTTTAGTGAGTTTTTTTCTTAGAGACACGCCCCGTTCAATTATTTATACATAAAACTTCAGTTTTTGTAGTTTTTACAATAAAATAGTTAAATGGATCTTGAGCATTCAATAATTTTGCAAAATTTTATGTATAATTTTGCGTCGTAAGATTCGGTAAATTAAAACTTCATGTTAATTTGCAATTTTGAACACATAAATATTTGAGTAAGTTTGTTCTAATGATGGACCTGGCTTTAAGCATCCCAAATATGGAATATGGTTACATGAATGTTGGGCACAATCAATAAAAAATTGTTCTTTAGATAATTAATTAACTCATGTTCACTAACCACCATTTAATGTATATGAAATGTTTATTAGTATTGTTTGATAATGCTTCTATTTTGTCTTTGCCGCGTTTAATCTTGGTTGAATTATTAACAACGACTCTACAATTATCTTGATTATCTACTTGATTATCTATTTTAAATTTGGAAGTTATTATATCGTGTAGTTCAATATAATTACTTTATTTAAAATTATTCTATTCCGAACAAAAAGTTTACATAAGAATATATCGTATTTGATTTTAAAAGTAGAATATTTGATGGTATCAATAAAATCATCAGATGCCTCAAGGACTAGTGGAACCGCAATATTGTTACTTTAAAAATAAATCTTCACGTAGGCATGAATCTAAGAATTATAAATTTTTTTGAAGACAAATAAACCAATTTTGCTAGCGTAAATTTATGATCTTAACAAATATCACAAATGTACGAAAAATATAAAAACACTTATTTAATCTAAACTAATCAATCATAAACATCTTCATCCTCAGTATCTTCATATCATTTTCACTTTCGATTAATATTTCCATTCTTCGTCATTAAACATCGAACCGTATGCCACACTTTCTTTCATTATATTTCTAGCCTTGTCAAATCCACATGAAAAGTCCTCCATAATTAAATGCGTGGCAGTTTCAGGTTTTAGAACCATAAAAAGATAATCAGTTATATTTTGCGGAGTGCACGTACAATTGTTAATGTTATAAAAAGTTCTTCTAATTTATCAGAAATTATTTGGAACTCTTTAGGTAGTGTTGTTAATGGAGATGGAGTACTCTAGACATTAATAAAACATATAACCCATTTCTGGAGTGCTCCGGAGTGGGTTATATGTTTTATTATTGACTGGTCACATTTAGATGTTTTAAATAATAAGGGAATTCCCTTTTCAATTAAACTTAATGTTGGAGAATAAATTCGTAACTTTACATAAAAAAGAAAACCTAAAACCAGGCAACAAAAGAAAGATAAGAGAATAACTAAAGACTTTGTAATTAAAAAAATTGTTGATCATGTCAGAAGGGCACCAGATGAAGACAAATCTCTACGAAAATGAAATTGATTGGTACGAACGTTGGAAACAAGAAATCGAAAATTTGCCCGAGAATGATCCTTTAATCTTTAAAGACATTTTTTTTATATTACAATATCGAAACAAAAAAACGTAATAAAGAAATTAAAAGGTAAATTGTTTTCTATTATATTTTTAAGTATAATTATTTTTTATTTTTGCTTTTAAATTTTATTTTTTATCGATTAGCTTACGTGAAGAAACTAATGATATCACATGATTTACGGACCCATGGGTCCGTGAGAGATATTATCTGCATCATTTAGCGTTAAGTTAACTACTATTTTTAGAGTAAACTATTATAGTGAATTCATTTTTAATTACTATCTAAATAAAATTTAACTATATTTCAAAGTAATAACGAGATATCTCCATCATCGTTAAATTCGCACTGGTAATAGTTTTTTTGCCTCGCTTGCACCATAATCATTTTTTTTTTCATGATCTTGGTTCCATTTTTTTGCGGGATAAAAACCAAGACGTTTAGCTTCAATAATGAAGCTTACACCCTTTGCAATATTTTCTTCACAACCAGTACCAGCAAGCAAGTGTAGTCCTATTTTAAATTTGACTTGACGTTTGAAATTGTCATTACCTTCATCTTTAATTTTATCATATGTTACAAAAGCATTTTTATAATCTGATTCTTCAGAAACAGATCGCAATAGTTCATTTAGAACAAGCAGATATTTAGCTTCTTCTGCTTTAAATAGCTTTCGAGTATTTAAATATTCACGATATGCTTGAGCTGAGTTAGGCATCAAAAATTTTTAAAAAAAAATTACCGGTAAATACGGATATCCATTAGCCTAATATTTATAATTTTAATAGAAAAACGGATAACGGATCACATCGATAATTTTTATTGCATGAAAAATTAAATTAGACATTTTTTATTTTTTACAGAATGAATTGACGATATAATTAATTCTGTATTAAAAAATGAAATTGAAGTTAATTAAATAGTTCTGGAAAAAATGACAATTATATAAATAATCCCGATCACTATATCAAGATCGGGTAGGGATTCTGCTCGCTCTTTTTGTATTATATTTAGTTTTTAAAAAATGATTAAAGTCACGTTTATCTTATGGAGACAATACAAAAAAATATGAGCAGAATTATGTAATTTTGACCAATCAAAAAATTCAGTATGCGAATAATATTATTATGTATTAACAAAATTTTAACTTATTTCGAAGATAAAAAATTTTATTTTGGACCACTATTGAAACATCCAATAGCGAGAATTATTTACTTTAACACGGGATCAGGAAAGGATTCGTGTAACTTATGAGTTGTACGTATTAACAAAAACACAATTCTAAGTTAGCATCGATCAAATAAAGAAATTTTATATGAAATTTCTAAATATTCAGAAGTTACTTTGGGCATAATTTAAATAAATAAATATACGTATTAAATCTATCAATGCGAAGTCAGAAATAACCCAATTTTACGATCGCTTGCTCTACATTTATTAGACATGCAACCTTTAAATTCTTACACTTCGTGAATATGTGTTTCCAAATTTGGTTTCTTAAGCTCATCGTCGTTGCTGTTGTTGTTGCTGTTGTCGCTGTCGTTGTCTTTGTCGCCATCCCTGTTCCGGAGAGGGAAGATTAAATATTTCGAAAATATATAATGTTCTCAGAGTCACCCACTCTGGGTGCCTCCCTTCCGTGTAGAAATCGACGAGCATCAAACATTCCTCGTAGGTCACCCCTACAAGATCCACATTAATTTTTCACTTCACAAAGATTTTTAAAAATATCAATCAACTTAAATAAACCAACCGTATTTATACTCTAATTTTGCCCAAATTTATATTCGAATTCTGCCCAAATTAAATCCTAATTCTGCCAAAATTTATACTCTAATTTCGCCCAAATTTATATTCGAATTCTGCCTAAATTAAATCCTAATTCTGCCAAAATTTATACTCTAATTTTACCCAAATTTATATTCGAATTCTGATCAAATTTATACTCTAATTTCGCCCAAATTTATATTTGAATTCTGCCCACTAATTTTACCCAAATTTATATTCGAGTTCTGCCATAATTTATACTCTAATTTCGCCCAAATTTATATTCGAATTCTGCGCAAATTAAATTCTAATTCTGCCAAGATTTATACTCTAATTTTACACAAAATTTATACTTTAATTCTGCCCGAATCTATATTTGAATTCTACCCAGATTAATTCTGCCAAATTTATATTCTAATTCTGCCCAAATTTATATTCGAATTCTGCTCAAATTAAACTATAATTTTTCATTCGAATTTCTTCTAAATTAAACCCCAATTCTTCCTCTAATTTTACATTCGAATTCTGCCCAAATTAAACCCTAATTCTGCCAAAATTTATCTCTACTTCTGCCCAAATTTATATTAGAATTATAAATTTTGGCAGAATTCGAATGTAAAATTAGAGGCAGAATTAGGTTTAATTTAGACGAAATTTGAATATAAATTTGGACAAAATTATAGTTTAATTTGGGCAGAATTCGAATATAAATTTGGGCAAAACTAAAGTATAAATTTTGGTTTAATCTATCTGGGTAGTAGGGTCGTTATAACTTACCTGACAATGTAACTTACAATGTAAGTTACATTGTAAGTTACGTTACTATTTCTCTAAGTTTTTCAAGTTCAAAATCTTCAATGTTGTTTTCGATTATTCGTTTGATATATCTATTCAATTAACTCTGCTTAATTAATACTCAAATGCATTTTAAAGTTAAACTTTAATCAGCACAAATGTATTATTATCGCATAAATTAAAAATTTTATTGAAATAGTGCTGCTTAAATAAAAATAAATTATTAATTAAAATTTAGCAATTACAAAAATTAATTGAACTGATTTTTTGTTCAATTATGTTCTTTTTTTTTTTATTAATTTTCTTTTAATTTTATGAAAAATAGCAAAATTTACTTGTTAATTAGGGTGTCCAGAATTTTGCGGTGCATAATTCTGCTCACTCTAAAAATATTTTTTGTATTGTCTCTATAAGATAAGCGTGATTTTTTAAAAACTAAATACAATACAAAAAGACATCTTTAGAGCAAGCAGAATTATGCACCGCAGAATTCTGGACACTCTACTTATTATGTTAAAGAATATTGTTCCCTTTTTTTCAGAACAATAGTTGATTAAATTAATCACTTAGCAAAATTATAAATACTAAAAAATTAAAAAACGTAAATTATAAATTAATTGATATCTAACAAAAATGCTGACAGATGAACCAGAGGTTATATTTAGCAGTAATGGATATATTGAATACCAAAAAGGGAACATGCCTTTAATTGTTTGTATACCACATGGAGGACGTCAGCGTCCACCAGAAGTACAAAATCGTGAAAATTCCTCAAAAACAATTACAAAAAATGATCTTTATATTCAAGAAATTGGAAAAGATCTAAAAAAGGAAATTATAAAACTTAAAAGTCAACCTTATTTAATAGTAAATTACTTGCATAGAAGCAAACTTGATGTTAACCGCAAATTAGAAGAAGGATCTTCTGCTCCTGAAACTAAAAAAGCTTGGGAAGAGTATCATAATTTTATATCCCGAGCGATTGAAGATATAAAAGAAAAACACGGACGTGGCTTATTGATTGACCTTCATGGTGAGAAAAATGTCGTTTTGGTTTTTATTGTATTGCTTATTTTTTTATACATAGGACATGTGCAATCTGAAAATATCGAGTTGGGATATATGCTATCGAAAGAGGAGTTAATGCTATCAGATGAACATATTAATCAATCCTCATCTGTTCAAACTGAGTCTAGCATAAAAAATCTTTATCTTTATCATAAAGAATCGCTTTCTTTTGCAGAATTGCTACGTGGAAAATTTAATTCTCTTGGCGGCAAGTTGCAATCATATAGTTATGAAACAACTCCTTCTCATATTAACCAATGTCCCAAAGAAGATGAAAAGTATTTTTCTGGTGGATATACTATAAAAAAATATAAATCATTCATCAATGCCATCCAAATTGAGTTAGTAACATTGTATATCTAGAAATAATTTTAATTTATGCTAACTATCTTGTTTTTTTATAGATTACCAAGAAAATATCGTCCAGATAAACCAAATAAAGAAAGTCGAGAATTTTTAGAAAATCTAGCAGATAGCATTATATGGTTTTTTAACAAATATTTTGCCGAAGAAAACAAAAGTTTTTTTGATAAGAAAATGGAGATTTGAGTTTACAAAAATGGTCAAATCAATATTTATTTTATATCGTTTTTCATCCTTGTTTTCTTATCATTATTTCATTTGATTTTTTTTTTTTGAATATTATTTTTTATAAAATTTCACGTTACATTTTTTAGAAAAAATCAATCGATGGTAAATTTTTGCGTTAATAGTTTTTTTTTTTTGACAAACCACATGGTAATTTATATATCATATAAAATTTGTATCACTCAATTTGAAATTAATAATTAAATTCACCAAAAATGACTTTACACATGCATTCGTAATACTTGTTTTAGGTCCACAAGGCATAATACAAAAATAAAAACCGGATTTTAAAACAAATAAATTTTCATCTTGATATAAGTTGTCATCAAAAATTATACAAATAAAAATTATAATTTAAAATATATACAAGTTAAAATAAAAGAAATATATAATAAAAGTATGATATTTATGATTCTAAATTTGTTAGAGCTCTCATTCTGTCCTAGGAGTTCAATTTGTCGAATCAACTCTTCATTACATTGAGTTGATTCGATTCGTTTACTCTCGACAAATTGAATCAGATCTAATCTCAAATATTGTTTATCCGTAAGAATAAGATTGAATTCGGACAATTCCACTCTATCTAATGATTTCTTAGTAAAATTATTCATTGATGGAGCTATTAAGATACCGATGGTTTCCATTTACCGAATCTTGACAATTAGAGATGTGACCCGTTATTCACTGAATATAAATTTATTAATAAAATCCAGTGAATATTCAATAGATTTATTAATAAATTTATATTCAGTAGATAATGGGTTATATCTCTATTGACAATACACCTTCAAATTCATGCACTATCTTAGGCCTAATTTTATCACAATCCAAATAAAATAAAAATTTAATATCATAAAATAAATTTAAAATTGATTAAATTAGATTATATGCCTTTGGGGTGTATAGTAATGATCATTAAAAGAAAACCTAACACTAATAAATATATTTTATTTATTAGTTCAAGAGACATCGCAATTTAACTATCGCTTATTATAAAAAAAAAAAAATTTATTAATAATTTCTATCGCTAATTATTAAAAAATTTGATTAATGATCATTACTATATTATCTGTTATACCTTGCATTGAACAATTATTGTATATCCTTTCCAGCCTCCTATCCAATCGATACCTCCGTCGCCTGGTGCGTGTCTATCAGATTAAACAAAATAAAAAAATATATCCAAAAAAAGTTGACTCTAGTAATACCCCAAGTTTAGAACTTTCAAGCAATTTCCAGGAAAAAGTTAGCATCAGTACCGATTCTCAACAGTCTAATAAACAACTTGAAGCACCTGATAAATGTGATGATCTTAGTTTAGATAACTATACAATACCTATGATAAAACCCTTAATACCTTTTGAAGATGGCATTAAAGCACACAAAGAAAAAAATACAATATTGCTTTGAAATGTTTTGTAGATCATGCAATGCTTGGAAATAATATGGCAAAATATTGGCAAGAATATTATTTATTGAACGGAATAGATGTTAAAAAGGATTATGAAGCTGCACTTAAGCTTTTCAAAGAAGCAGCCGATGATGCTCAACTTCGATATGCATTTGCTTTTCTTGAAGATAAAAATAATATGAATGTACCAGAAATAATTAAATATATAACTATGGCAGCACATCATGAAAATTCTACTGCACTTTATAACTTGGGTGATATTTATTGGAATGGAAAGTTAGGGGTTTCAATCGATAGAGTAAAGGCTGAATCATATATTAAGTTGGCAGCTTTAAAAAATTAGCCCAGAGCTATCTAATTTTTGGAAAATATTAATGCAGAAAGGGCTAAGAAGTAATTTATCAGTCATAGGATATAAAGGAGTTCCAAACGCTACACTTAGTAGTCAAATAAGTTGGTACTGTACTCTCAAATTTTTTATAAAAAAAAATTAAACTAAAACTAAATAAAAAAAATACATATAAAATTTTTAAAATTTTAATATATACTCTTTAGCATTTAATAATTCTTTGATAAAAGTTTTAATCTTAAAGATGATATTTTTTTTTTGTCTTTGTAATCCTTGTAAAATTAAAATTATTAAATGATTGGTTAAAATAAATACGTATATTGCAGTATTACAAACTCTTATTAATTTCTTAATTAGAACTTAGACGGCCCTCAGGGCCGTAATAACATACCTGGGTTCTAATTTACTTTTTGTAAAATATAAAAATAAGAAAAATCGCACATAAATTACATGTCACAAAAATTATTTGTGTACATATTTACTAAATTGCATTTCTTAATAATACTTCTTGATGTAAAAATGCAGTTTAATATTATAATTTATTTTAATTTAGTTCACACATCTATTAAATTATGTTCAAGTGAATGTTGAATTAATCAATATAATTCTAAAATTTTATAAAATTTCTTCAAGAATTAAATGCAAATATGCAAATGAATGGTTAATCAATTAAATAATATTATTTTATTTATGAGCTGAAAATTATTAATACTTATTCTACCTGTAAAAATGGGGAAAATAAATTTGAAAAAAACCGTTACTTAATTATTATTATTATTATTTTAACAAAAAAAAATCAATAATAAAAAAATTTGCATTCTAATTACGCGCGTTTCTAAATATCTTATTTTACATACACCGGTATATATTGTAATATTACTTAAATTACAATATATGTATTATTATATATATTGTATTATACTAATTGGATTTCTTTCCCTACTAAGTGTCTTTAAAAATATTTATATTTCTTCAAAAAGATCAATAAAGCCTGTTTTCATTTATTCTTGTAAATCGCTATTGGTGTAGATTTTAATTCTACCAAACTATATTTATCAGAGTTACTAATTAATTCTACCAAAATTATATTACCAGAGTTATAAATTAATTTTAATAAATTTTCAATATTATGTTTACCAGAGTTATACTAACTAATTCTATCAAGATAATGCTACAAAAAATTCTACCAAAATTATGCTTACCAGAGTTACAAATTAATTCTACCCAAATTAAGTTTACCTGAGTTACGAATTAATTCTACCTAAATTATTCTTACTAGAGTTACGAATTAATTCTACCAAAACTAAGTTTACCAGAATTACTAATTAATTCTATCAAGATAATGTTTACCAGAGCTACATATTAATTCTAACAAAATTATGTTTATCAGAGTTACGAAATAATTCTACCAAAATTATGCTTACCAGAGTTACGAATTAATTCTACCAAAATTATGCTACCAGGTTACAATTAATTCTAACAAAATTATGTTTACCAGAGTTACGAAATAATTTTACCAAAATTATTCTTATCAAAGTAACTAATTAATTCTACCAATATAATACTTACCAGAGTTACATATTAATTTTACTAAAATTATGCTTACCAAAGTTACAAATTAATTCTACCAAAACTATATTTACCAGAATTACTAATTAATTATATAAAAATATAAATTTATTATCGTTATAAATTAATTAAAGAATTATAAAGAATTATATATTCAAGTTTCTAATAAATCTTATAATGAATGATCAAAGAGGTTTTCGCCTTGCAACTAAAGAAGAAATAATCTATTCTAAGACTTATCGCGAATATTTAGATACTAAAAAAAACTATCAGTCTATTCGATTAAAGTTATTCTGATTCCTCTGAACATGAAAAAGCTTTTATTACATATAAAGCAATGGAAGATGATGATACCCTTAATTATCAAATAAAATATAAATTAGGATTGCATTTACTGTCTGGAGTCGGTTGCAAAGAAGAAATTGATAAAGGTTATAAGAAAATTGTTGAAGCTGCAAGTTTAGGTCTTCCTGATGCAAAAAGCTGGATAAACAAATATAAGAATAAAAATGATTATGGAGCAGTAGAAGCGAAAAAATTATTATTAAATAAAAATCGGTAGGTTAAATTATGTACACATATTCGATCTCTATTTACACATGATCTCGGTTATTTACGAAAAAAAATAATGTCAATTGTTTATATCAAATTAATAATATATTTTTATTTTTATTTTATATATTGTAAACTGCCAAGCTTTAATAAAGTCCAATGCGATGATTGAAACTGTCCATCGTTAATACCAGTTATGATTTTAATAAGACTCAGCTCATCATATCCGGTGTTAGTGATGGGACTTAAAAATTAAAAATTCAAATGTCATACCCCGTAATCTATTGAAAAAATATTATAAATTATAAATGCAACAATTAAGAATCACCCATTTTTCGTATTGTTAGTCGCATCATAAACTTAAAATTAATACGCTGAATTGAATATAGTTCAATTGAAGAATTATTGGGTATATTAAGGAAAAAAACGCATTTAAATAAGTACAATAAAACTATAAATAAAGTATTTTATATCAATTCAGTAATTAATTCACACTAAATAAAAAACGTCATCTAGCAGTAATGTAAATTAGATTAGAATCCAGAAATTTGTAATGCAAATATTTTTTGTATGGTAGTTATAAATAAAAATAAATGGAAAGCAAAATCGAAATCCTATAAAAAATTAGCCCTCTCAATTGTTTGGTTTGATTTGCCTCTTTTTGGAATAAAGATGGTCGATAAGCTACTCTATTTATCATTTATTACCGGATTCGCAGTTTCACTCTTCTGTCATAATACTGCAATAGCCATATTACAGAGCCTTGATAGTTATTCAGTAAAAATGTGGAGATTTTGCTTAATACAGGAAGTCAAACCTCTATCGGAATTTCTTGACTTTCAAATCCTTTGACTAAATCAATTAAATGATCATAAAATAAACTTGCTTATATCGATTTTTTTGAGTTTTACTTGTTGAATAGATTTTTCGAGAATTTCTATTATGAATTTTCTCTGATCCTTTCATTTAAATCTTTTCTATTCTTATATTGTTAAAAAAAACAAAATATGTTTGGTCAAATAATGCGCT